AACAGGCTGTGCTTTTCTTCAGGCAATTAGCCACGAGCATATCTGTATTGTCACGCTTGGATCTCGCCAGCATAAAGCGGCAGAGATAAAAACTACCCTAGAAAATCATGGAGCTGGTTTCATAAAGTAGGTCTTCGTTAAGTCCAAGTTACACCTGCTCAGCTACAAGCGGCGTTATGATCTATACAAAGACAAAGTGTCGTCATAGACGACTCATACAACTCAAAATGACGCTTCGGATCCTGGAAGAATTCTTTTAACAGCCAGGATAGCCGCCACCTCTGTCGCATCTATCACCATTTGCCATCCGTTTTGGAAGAGTGGGGGTATACTAGGCTATTGTTGTGTCTCACCGTGAAAACGCATAGACTTACAAAATCGATACATTTGTCTATTCGTAATGAGCACGAGTAAATTCAGGAATGCATCCTATTGAGCACATGCAAGCAGTGCATGAGTCTACGCGTATAAATGACTATTTGTCAAATATCGACAAAGTTTCTTTAGCGCTAGCTAAACTCTATTTTTGACATGCCACATTGAAAAAAAAATAATTAATCAGCTTTGTCTTCAATACCCCACACAAATCACCAAAGTCAAAGAACATTGGCAAGTGCCACCATCAATGAGGGAGCGACGAAAGTTTCTTGTGCTAGATAATAACATGCACGAAGAGTAGATCAAGCTTTGTAGACAGCTGCCTTACTAGACGGTGACTATTCTGCTAACCTCAGATGAAGTGATTGTCGCAGTGGACTGTCGTAAATGAGTAGTTGACAACATCCATCGAGAGATTAAGTGCATTGGACAACGAACATTATATACTCTAGCACATCCGTATAGAGAAACGGCGTTTGAGCCCAATTCGTGACTGCATTTAGCTCATATAAGCATGCATAATTCTTATCATTAGATATGCTGACTTAAAAATTGGTGGGATCTGTAAAGATCTGGTTAACCCGCTTTGGGCTTGGTACAGAAGAACGCGTTGATGACTTCACGATGCATCCATGGTGAAAGCCGTCGACGTGTGACGCATAACCAAAAAGCCAGTACAATGTCACTAATACATTCATCGATTCGGGGTGACACGTGTTGTGAGCTCCTTATCCTTACGTCGTGACATTCCTTGTACTAATTGAAAAAAATTCCATACGATCTTTGAGAATAGTTGTGCAGCGGGGCTGCCGTAGCTCTTTGCTTAGAAGGCTTACTAAGGTCACCGACCTTACGTTCGATAACATAACCAGTAAGAGTGTAGCAGATCGCAATCCGCTACCTCCAAGAGTACTTAAAACCTTAACCAAGGCAAATACACTCTTCCACCCAAAATTGGAACTGCATTCATTTAGCCGCCTATATTTAAAAACCTTAGGTTTTAGTTATAATATAGCAGAACCTGATTAATATGCATAAATTCTCGCAGTCCTACGTAGTGGCTTCTTGTCCACATCATTGTGTGATGACACCGATTTGTGTAATCCACACATTTGTACGGTCACACCATCTTATGTGACTCACTCCTGTCCCTCTCCACGAACTTGGTGCTCTTCGAGAATCCTCTATAACAGTACAACGTTGTCCATCCATCAGATGTGACCGAAAACTTTCTCTACTAGCATACTGTGACCATATGTAATTATTTTCATTATTTACAAATATTCATGTGTGATGTGCTGTGTGGTCATCGCTCTGTTCTCAATAATATAACGACTACCAATCATGAAGGTCCGCTCCTCAGTAAAGCGCATGTGCGACGGATGCAAAGTCGTTCGTCGAAAAAAAAGAGTTTATGTGATCTGTGACCGAAGTCCCAAGCACAAGCAGCGCCAAGGATTTCACACAAGCACCATGAAACCCTTAACGCAAATGAGCGCCACGCTCGCCACTACCTTTTCGCCGAATGAAAGTTTTCGGATCGCTCTGAATACGATGCAGTACCCGGGACTTTGTTTCTACAAGGCCTTTCGTGACGCCACTATTCAAATCCCCAAGCTGTCCTAACAAAGTAAAGGGCAATCCAGGAACATAACTCAATAGAACTTTACCTTTGAGTTTTTGCAATGACACGTGTTTAAAACCGATAGCATGAGTAAACTGAAAAAGATCTATTCAAATAAGTGAATTCTCCTAGAAGAATGCATTCGGTCCCGTTGGTCCTACTTCTGCTAGCCCTAGCAGCATCCAGCAATGTATGCTTCGCAGGTAGTAATCGAGAGCAAGCGCGCTTCTACCTGCCCGAGGCAATGCGCTATAAGAAGCTTAAGCCGGTCTTACAACAGCTGGAAGCTCTTGGCGTATCGCAATTCCATCCCGCTGACGACAAAGCCTCATGGGAGAAGCTGCTAACTGATAGCGCAGAATTTGATCTTGTGTGGAGTACCGCTACTACACCTCCTCTTTCGCAGCTAGTGCTCCCGAATCAGTTTCATGCGAAGGTGAACCATATACCAGGAGCGGATCAGCTCACGTCACCTGACGCACTTTATCGGCACGTGGGAGCACAGCAGAAAAAGCATGTCAAGTTCTTTTTTAACTTTGTGCCAGATCACTACGAGTTGCCACGTGACCAGGCGCAGCTAGATAAAGCGTACATTGACGCCCGCAAGAAATCCGATTTTTCGCCGAAGCGCGTACGTGACCCGCTTGTATACCGACGCTTTTTAATAAGTGAACGTTTTGCTGACATTGAGGATGAAACTGCTCATCGTGCCGAACTTTTTGTATCTGACGAAGATTTGAAACTAAAGCTGCATTCAACTGCCTATAAAGGGAGATCGGTGGTGGTCGATCGATATGTTGAGCCGCTGCTGCTGGACAACCACAAGTTTCGGGTAGGATTTTACGTGGTGGTAACATCTATGGACCCTCTGCGACTCTACGTGTATGATCGTCCGTTAATAAGGATCGCTAAGGGTGAGTACCCAAGCACATTAAAGGTCGATACCGATCCATCCACCTACAACTTTGACCAATACATCGCTCCATGGGACTTTCCCGATCTAACAGCAAGTTTTCAGGAGCTTCCGTCATCGACGCGTGAAGGCACGAACGCTTGGCATGTAGTCAAGAAGTATTTGCAAAGACAAGGAATCGATACGAAACACTTGCAAGACGAAGTAGAAGCTACGATTGCAAAGTTGGTGCTTAGCAGTCGTGGGTATTTTCAGAGCGAGCTGGCCAAGGTAAAGCGGTCGGCTGCACGTGATGGAGAAAAATACCCCCCGACAGATTTAAGTGATAGCTTTTTCGACTTGTGGATGTTTGACTTCGAGTTTGATGATTTGGCAAAACCGTGGCTTGTTCGCGTGGTATCGAACCCGTCAATGGAGAGTACACAATCTGTGCTTGCTACGGACATGGCTGTCAAAAAGCGAATTTTGTCCGATTTAATCAATTTAGTGGGCGTATATCCTCAAAACCATCATCTGTTTGAAAAATTTTATCACCCGTCGGTTGATTCTAAATTCTGCTCAAAAAACTGTCACGACACGAATCGCGTTTGGGATACTACATGCTGGTCATGCCCTGGTTGGTTCTCACCAAGTGTTGCGAGTAAACTTTTTACTGCTTCAGCAGAGTACAACCGCCGGGGCAATTTTAATCTCATTTTTCCTTCGTTGGAACATGATTTCTCTAAGTTTCTGGACACTGAGCTTACCGAGCATGATGTCGCTTTTGACCGCTACCTAAAGTCCTTTTCAAGCGGATTTCTTGATTCCACCCAGGTTTCGGCGTCTAATCGTGCTGTTTTGTGTGTGTACCGTGAGCACTGCAGCAATCACGGCGACTGTGTCAATGGATTGTGTTTGTGTGACAGCAATTATGAGGGTCAAACTTGCTACATTCCAAAAGACTTTGACTCTTTGAGACCACAAAACGAAACCAAAAATGTTACCGATCAAGAGGCCGAGACGTGGATGGAGAAGGTTGAAAATATTATGTGGAATCAAGCAGACGCAACAAAAGGTTCCAAGTGGTCAATGACTGGGATTGAAGATGATTCTGCATTCGGTATTATTCTTCTGATTCTTCTTCTGTGTGCTCTCATCTTGTTAATCTGTCGAGTTTTCGTAGCGTATCGATCTGATGGGGAAAGCCAAGATGGCAAGGCTAAGTAGTGTATTGCACGTTAAATATAGCTTATTTGTGGTAAACAATTTGACTGTTTCTTGCAAACTTTTCATATTCACAAAGACGATGGCAGTAGTATCACGTGTCACACCGATCGGTATCCTGGGATTGCTGAGCGAGAACATTTCGCTGGTTGCCATGGAGGGAGCCACGTATCTTAATTTCTTTATTCTGCTGCTACACGTGTATTCATCTGGGAAGCGTAATGCTACCATGCTAATCGCTGCAATCCTTCAAGTGCTCATTGTAGAGCTTACTTTTGACGACAGCGACCGGTGGCACGCGCAGGCACTGGTGATGCTGGTGCCAAGTCACGTTCCACTTTACACAGTACTACTTCGTGCGCAGCTTTATTACATGTGAGTTGAAGAGCTGACACGTTGCCAGATGATAGTCGCTCATATTGATTGAAACAGGACATTTGTTGCGACATCACGATTGCGAATCAACCCGTTCCTTCAACCATTCGCGATGGGATTTCTAATTATAATGCTGACGTTCCCTTTTGAGATGATGGGCACCAAATTTCTCTGGTGGACGTGGCATGACACGGACCCACTTCTCCACTCACGTATTATGGGTATTCCGTGCCATGTCCTATTTTACTACTACTTTTTTGCTTTTGCATTTCTTTCTGTGCATCACATTTTATGCAGGTAAGCAAAATGGAGTCAATCTTTTTTCAAGCCCATTTTGACATGACTGTCATTGCAGCACTTGGCTTGTGGACGTGAAATATTCGAATGTTCACTGGAAATCTGAGTGGGGCTACGTGCTGCTGATGCCGTTCATCGCTACAATATTTGCTATGTTTTTTCTCATTTTAGGCTATTATGGGACTGTTTATTTTTTAAAGATTGATGCACAGGTGACGAAGGCCTGTAGCATATACATAATTGGTAGTTAAGATCTGACTGACATGATGGCTCACACAGGCGATGCTTTTCACTCTGATGGGACTCAGCTCGTTGCTAGCATGGTTGGCAGATCGCGAGAGAGGTGCTAGATACAAATTTGTGCTGCATTTTTGATATGATGCTCATTGGTTAGGTGCAGATGACACTCAAATTCAAAAACAGCTGGGACCTGAAGACGCCTACGATAGCGACTGGCTCAACCCGTCTTTTGATCATGCTGTGAACCAAATGGCATTCTTGCTTTATGCCTTTTTGATTCTCCTGGTCTTGTTCATCGACCCAACAGAAATCGTGTCACTGGGCCTCCACCAGCCTCTAGGCAACTGCCTGGAAAGCGAGTCATTTTATTCGCACGTGGGGATGCAGTTTCATCGCAAGAAGTATTTATGCGTACACGAATTCGAAGAGGATTACATTCTGTGCAACTACCCGGTGAAGCAGCTATTATACGAAGATATGTGGTACATGATCTGCGGTCGCAGCTACCAAAACTACCCGACCTACTTGATGCTTAGCATAAGTAGCTTCTTGGGCATAAACATGCTGCTCATCCAGGTACTTAAGCGGCCACATCGCACAATTATGCGTACATTTTGAACAGCTGGTACCATATGATTGGCTGATTCTGCTGCATTGTCTATCCCGAAAATAATATAATGATAGGCAGACGCTTAAACTACCTTAATCCCTGTTACGCTATACAATGGCGCACCAAATGCCCATGGAAATTCAGCAGGAGTTGCGCCGCCTTCCAGGAAATAATGTATGTCGACAAAACATTGATTGTTGGTGCTCATGATACCTCAGTGTCATGACTCTCTCCTCAATTTTTTTATTTTGTGCAACTTGTGTTTTACTGCAGCGCTGTGTTGACTGCGAAGCACCATACCCTCAATGGGCAACGGTCACATACGGCACCTTCATGTGCCTCGAATGCTCGGGCCGCCACCGCGGACTTGGAGTACATATTTCATTCGTGCGTTCGGTCACCATGGATTCATGGACAGATAAACAGGTATTACAAATGCAAAAGGGTGGTAATGACGCATTTCGCTCTGCTTTCTCCGCGGCAGGCGTCCCTACAGATCTCTCTATCAGCGAAAAGTATAACACACCGCAAGCAGAAGCATATCGCCAGCGACTTTTGGCAATAATTGAGGGGGGTGCTGTCTTACCGCTTCCTCAATGGAATTCAACAATGCGTCAGCCAGCTTCATTTCCCCTTTCTTCGACTTCGTTCGGTGGGGGAGGCTTTGCTGGAGGTGACATCCGCGGTGTGGAAGCACTTAAGGGAGAGTCAGAGCAGGAGTACGCTGCTCGTCAGATGAAACTACGCGAAGACGCTCGTGCTCGTATGGCCGCCAAATTTGGAGGAAATGGTATGCAGGGCATTGGAAGTGGTGGCGAGACACGTGCGCCACACGCTCAAAGTGGAACTCTAGGAGACCTCTCAGGAGCCTTTAGCTTTCTCGCTAGCACTGTCACGACAGCCGCCAGCTCGGCGGCCAATCTCGTCAAGGATGGAGAACTTGGATCTAAAGTGTCATCTGGTTGGTCTTATGTTCAGAGCGCCGTTCAAGGCCCATCAATTTCAGAACACGTCAAGAATTCAGCTTCTTCGGGGTGGTCAGTGCTTTCAGATGGTGCCTCGTCTCTCTTTCAAACTGCCCAGATTGCAGTCAACGGAGGTGATCATGCATATGGAAACACGGATGGACTGAACTCGTTTCCTCGTACGAACACTGAGCTTTCCGCCACTGGCAAATATACTGGCATGGGCAGTAACGGCACCAGCACGAACTTATCAAGCTTCAATCATTTTGACGATTCGATGTCGGACATGCAGCCAGGCAACAGCAGCAGCAATAATAGCACTAATATCTACATGATGACCCAGCAGCTCAAGGAAACCGATACATCACAAATTGCTGCCAAAAGCAACAGTCACGATCTCTTAGGATCATCAGTGTCTTCTGTTGCCTCCAGCAATGGTCCAACTTCTACTGCCTGCATAGCCACTGCTGCATCGCCACCAGTCTTGGTTACAGAAAGCAAGAAACCTAAGAAGGATGTTGATTTTTTCGGCGAGTTTGGCTTTTAAATTGCTTTTGCCACCAATACTGTTTTGCATTGGCATTAATTTCTAGAAGCCCGTATCGACCGCTATTTTGCTAAGTCATTCATAGGGTTGATAACCATATACGTCGCCTATCATGTTATGTAAACTTACTGACCATATTGATGTCTCTTCTGCTCATGTGCACAAATTGTTGCCGATGGGAAGGTGATCAGCCCACCAAAATTAATTTCAGAATGAATTCTTGCTCAACTTTTGCTCTTAAGTTCACATGCGTCTAATGTGCTAGACTTACATCTTTCGCATCAACGTGCGTTTAGCAGCAGCAAGGATGTCATCCATTTGGGGTAGACACAGCTTTTCCAGATTGTCAGCATATGGCATGGGCACATCTGTTCCTGTCACGCGCTCCAAAGGAGCGTCCAGGTAGTCAAATGCTTCAGTTTCCATTAGGATACCAGCAATTTCCGCGCCAATGCCGTGCTGACCCCATCCTTCCTCAATTGACACAATGCGGTTAGTCTTCTTCACAGATTCAATGATGGCCTGACGGTCAAATGGACGAATCGAGCGCAAATTTATCACTTCAGCATCAACACCTTCGTTGGCAAGGACAGCTGCAGCTTCGAGAGCCTCGCCTACCATGCGAGAGAAAGCAACCAGAGTTACATCCTTTCCCGGCCTCATTATTTTAGCCTTGCCAATTTCAATCAAAAAGTCTTTGTCTTGAGCCTCTTTTGATACGGGGTAAGAGACACCGTATAAAAGCTCATTCTCCAGCACTACAACTGGGTTGGGGTCGCGGATGGCTGCCTTTAGCAGACCACGAGCGTCCTCTGAGTCGAAAGGAGCCACCACCTTGAGTCCGGGTACACTACCGTACCATGCGGCATAGCACTGTGAGTGCTGAGCGGCTGTAAATAAATGGAGAGGCAAAAGTCAGCACAATATATTAAAAATCTTCTAAGATACTTACCAACACCCGCAGCAGGTCCATTGGAGCCTCGAAATACGATGGGCACGTTGATGTCACCGTTGGACATGTAGTACTGCTTAGCAGCTGAATTAATTATTTGATCGATAGCCTGCATGGCGAAATTGAAAGTCATAAACTCCACTATGGGCTTAGTGTTGTGGTAAGCAGCGCCGACCGCGAGGCCAGTAAACCCTTGCTCAGTGATAGGAGTGTCAATAATGCGCTTATCTCCGTATTTTTCCCATAATCCCTTAGAAACTTTGTAGGCGCCATTGTACTCGGCAACCTCCTCGCCCATGAGAAAGACTTCATCGTCACGGGCGAGCTCCTCGTCCATTGCCGTGTTGAGTGCATCACGCACCGTCATTTCGTCCGCCACGGTTGCCATAGTGCGACGTTGCAAGCGTGTAGACCCCTTAAATATCTTCTTCGTACTCAAAAAGCGTCGAAGCGCCATTTTCTGTGAGGGGGACTAGATGTGTTTCTTGTGGCGCAAACTACGAAATCAAGTTGGAGGCTCCGGCGGCTCAAAGTAGATTATTGGCTTAAAGAAAGCCGATCTATTGTCTTGATTAAGTGCGACGAAGACTTGCCGTTCAGAATTGCAAATGTTATAAAGTTTTCGGCAGTCGCTCATCAGCACACGACTGTCAAGCGCTTAGACTTAAAGCTGTAAGTGAACACGGAGTCGATGGATAATTCTAAACAGGCACACTCTCGCAAATGATAAAGTAGAAGATCAAGCTATAGGTATCGATCGTATAGATATTACAGCCAAACTTGAACTGACTTCCAAAATGCCGTCTAATTCACTACTGCGTATGAGGTAGATTTGCAATCCCATTTTAGATAATATCTAGGAGAATCATGCTACTTTGTGTTGAGGCACCATCAACATTCGCATGTTATGACCAGGTAAGCAACCAACCCTCATAACTGGCAACGGCCGTAGTGAAGCTAGCTCCGGTGCCGCCACACGTTGCGGCAACTTTCGCGACCACGAACACAAAAGTAAAATAATGTTACGTGCTGCATTCTTCGTATCCCACTCTCGTAAAGTGAACTAGACATCTAATGGAGCATTTTGGCGCACATCGGTGCGCAACCGTCACAATCAATAAGATGAAGATGTAGGAAAATCAAACATTCAAGTAATTGATTTTTCAAGAATTTCACTGTGCACCTTGGCGCTTATCGGGGGAATCAAGCATTTAAATTTATTGGTTATCCAAGTTGAAGCCGTTAGAGTTCGGACCTGCAGAAAAATAGACCGCTGCTGTTTTATTGCAATTTGCCGCTAACGTTTTCTTTCGATCGGCGTAGCGCATATATACCGAAGCTGCTCTGGGACGAGTGTTGGCATTGAAGCTAATAACAATCAAGTCATACTTGCATTTGCAACGTGAAAAGTAAGCATCAGGTTCATATGAATATTGCCAGCAAAATGATGTCGACCGCGCACACGCATGGACACGAGGCTTGCTCAAAGGACCCGGCGGGCTGTATGCGTGCAGTTGTATGGACCGGTAATGCCGTTAAGTTGGCGCATGTTGCAAAGCCAAGGATTATCGAAGCATCGGATGTAGTGGTTAAGGTCACTGCGTGCTCTGTGAGCCCAGATTTTGCAACCGATATTTGTGCAGGAGTGGTCAAAGGACTAGAAAATAATCAAATTCTGGGTAGCGAGGCTGTAGGTATTGTAGAAAGTGTCGGTGCTGAAGTGAACAAGGTTAAAGTTGGTGACCGCGTTGCTGTTAGCTTCGTTCTGGCTTGCGGTAATTGCAAGCACTGTCGTCGACACGAGTACGCCGCATGCAATTGCACCAATGCATCTCAAGAGTTTAAGCAGACCTATGGCGGCTGGGCGCCTGCCGCCGTTTTAGGCAGCACACGAATGCTTGGAAATGTTCCTGGTGTGCAGGCTGAATATGTTCGAGTGCCATTTGGCGATGTGAATTGCTTCAAGTTGCCAGCGGGAGTAAGTGATGATAAGGCCGTGTTGGGTGTCGAGACAACTGTGACAGCGTTGCACGCTGTCGACACTGCCGGAATCAAGGAAGGTGACTGTGTTGTCATTTGGGGTTTAGGTCCTATCGGGCTTCAGGCTGCTCACTGGTGTAAGCTCCGGGGTGCAAAATCCGTGCTGGGAATTGAACTTTGCGCTGAGCGCGTTAAGTTTGCACAGGATCATATGAATCTTCACGTGATCAATCGTCTCGATTTATCGAGCGCTCAGGTGGTAGCAAAGCTACAACAAATGCTACCACCTGGAGGTGCAGACGCTGTAATTGATACAAGCAGTTGCTCTACTTCATCCGGCTGGATGGCTACATTGGAGAAAACAATTGGAATGGAGAATCAGCCCGAGCCTGCTGACACTTTCAAGGAGATGCTGATGATTGTACGCAAGTGCGGCCACCTTTCCATTGTGTCCGACTACATGTGTTCGGTACGGTCTTTCCCCATCGGTCACATCGCGATGAAAAGCGTTACAGTACACGCTGGTCGCACACCAGCTCAGAAATACTATCCTCAAGTGTTCGATGCAATCGAGAGTGGCGAGCTGGACCCATCGGTGCTTATTTCGCACCGCATCGCTCTCGAGGAATTACCTGGGGCATATTCCGGCATTTCCAAGAAGGACGGCGGCTATTTGAAAGTGTTCATTGCTCCGCACGAAATGCGCTCGAAGGTGTAAATCATATCTGAGCAAAGCAGTTTACCTGATAATTTCTATTTTTTTCATTTTACCTTTAATAAAAGGGTTACTAAGTTACATCACTTCTTAACTACAGAAATTCTTAGTTAAAAAACTTTTATTTTATGCACCGACGTACATTTTGCACTTCGTGCAATTGTGCATCATAATACTGTATGAATATCAAAATTCAAAGCTATAAAAGGATGGGGGTGATGGAATTTCAGGAAAGAGATGTCCTTCGTACACCCAGATACCCTGGTAGTTTATTATTAGATATTGTAGTGATTTCGAAGTAGGTTACTAGCTCCCTCAAAATTTCCGGAGCGCACAAATCCATCTTCTGGCCATTAGTTTACGCGCACTCTTCAAGTCGAAGCTTCTTCTGTGCGAAGAGCATGGCAACTTGGTTACACTTTAGTCAATCTGACGACCCACTCGTGCAAAGTCTTTTACCTCTGTGCAACAGGATTGCCATGCGCCGTACACACTAGAAGATTTGACTAAGAGCTACGAGAGATGAGTAAGTATGCTCCGCCCAGGAGCGGAGTAACTAGTTGCCTGGATTCTCTTCTGGTTCAGTCATTCTATCAAGACTGATACCAGGTAGATTCGTTTTACTATATTCAATAGTAAACTACCTGCATTGTCTCACGTGATTAATAGACGCGTACGACGGACTTCCACTTCGGGTTTCCATGCACTTTGCACAGAGGAATATATTCAAATCCGCGTTATTAAACGCACAAAGGTAGAAGCGATAACAAGGGTCTTTATCATAACTAAGTGTCGAGTAAGCTTTGCTTTTATAATAAAACATAAAAACCTAAAATATGATAGGCTGATACAAATTGTGTATGATTTAAAATCTCTTGTCATACAGCTGTTTGTATTTTCTTGCGCGCAAGTAGCAGCAAACGTCTAACACAGTGATCTCCTTTTCGAAATTCCAACATCTTCCTAAAAAACGCTACTTCTGTACTTAGGTATATTCATAATTGTATCAAATTACATTGTGGGTTTTAACAGTGTACCGAATAACATTTGAATTAATTATAGCAAATGTGTAACGGGGTTACACATACCCTGGTAACAAGAGGGGGTGTCACACCAGATGGGCATGGTGTGACCACACCCAAACAAGAATACGGTACAGGGCTGGATAGCCAGTAGTTATACATGTATTTAGATTTACTATACATATTCAGGAAAATCTATGCATTTAAAATTAGGCGCCTTTGCCGCAGATAAAAAAAAGTCAGTTTTTGAATTTAAACGGAAGAGATAATTAGCCTTGGGTTTAGGTTGTAATTGACCTCTGGAGTAAGCGAATTGCAATCCGCTAAATTCGTACTTGATTTGAGTTATAATCGAAAGGTCGGTGACCTAACTTACGCTTCCTCTAAGCGCAAAGCTACGGCTGCCCCGCTGCACTTGGTAGCTCTTGTAGTCAATCTACACCTGAGTCGTTATGACTGATCCTCATTGAGGATGGAACAATTTGCCCCAGGACATGCAGGACGGGCTTACAAAACTGATGTCCTTGCTTGGCCCTGAGGGCGTGCAACACCTTGCTGAGCAAGGCCCCGAGGCAATCGGTGCGCGTCTAGAGGCGCTTCAATTTCCGAAAACGCGCTGCTAGAGCACCTGCAGCAGAAGATGACTGCCTCGTTTGCGTCTATGACGCCACCGTCAGTGACGGATGAATTCCCCACCCTAAGCCGCTCATGGTGAGCATTAAGGACTTCGAGGGGAAGGATGGAGAAAATTACCTGCTCTGGGTGAGAGAGGTCGAGATGGTCATCGCATCCGCCATGCTCCAGACCGAGCAACAGAGCTTGGCGATTGCCATCTCAAAGCTCGGTGGTTGAGCGCGATAATGGGATCTGACGTACGGCACTTCGGTCGAAGCTGTGTTTCACTCCTGGGTGGAGCTGAAATTGCAGCTCTCACGAGTGTTCTCGCCGCCTAACCAGGCATATCGCGTGCGAGCGCATTGCCTTGCCGCCCGACGGGACAACAAGGAACTGGTGGACTTTGTCCAAGAAATGCGCAAGGGATGCGTACTCTCATTGCCGGGATGGCAGCAGATCCCTTCCGGAGGCGGTCACAGTGACTGTCTTTACGGAAGGCCTCCGCACTGGCGTGGCCAGAATGGAAGTCTTCCGTGTGCATCTGATTTCATTTGAAGAGGCGGTGTATATGGCATTGAATGCTGAATTTAATTTTAAGTCGGCACGACTTGGTTCGACTACACACTCCAACAGCTCGTCGAGCGGGCCTATACCCATGGATCTCAGCTATGCTGAGGA